TGAGCTGTGTGGGAAAAATCACCCTCGCCTGCAGAGTTTAGGACAAGTCAAGATAACAAGACTTTGACTGTGTCCCAATTCGCCTACTTACACTACGCCCTAAAAGTATGTACTCTTTTTGTGAAGAAAAAGTACATAATTTTGAGTGTGTAGCAAAAGAGTAGGCAAGCTTTGGGACATACTACTTCGTCATCTTTAACGGACAGATCTGTCACGTGCAACCTATCACCGTAAACTGCCCTGTCAATCACGTATCTTTACAAAAGTTCATAATGCTGCTGCAGATGCAATAAAATGTAGCCAACATTGAATAAATACATTTTCGTCAGGTTAGATACTTATAATTAATCACTCAAACCCCTTCATCTAAACCTCTCTACACAACCGCCGGACTCGCGCGTCCTCGATGTCTGTAGTTTTTTTTAACACTTTTCACTCGTGTTTGTAGTTCTAACCGAATCCTCGTCCAACGCGTGATGGGTTGTGGGCAATATCAGCCGTTCGAGTGCATCGATCTGCGCTTCAGATTCTGACCGGATATAGTAGACCAGGGGTCTCCAACACGTCGCTCGCGAGCTACCAGTAGCTCGTGGCCTGATTGGAGGTAGCTCGCCAAGGGAGGTAGCTCGTCAAGTTCGTTATTTCAAATGTAGGCGCTTGGGCAAGCGTGCTCATTATTGAAGCGACGTGCTAATTTTTTCCAGGCGCAGCGAGATGAAAACACCTCAGGCTTGTTCGACTTCATGCAGCTCTGCGCAGACCGATCGGCGGCAGACTTGAAGCAGTGCATGCCGGTTAGAAATTTTGTCCGACTTGATACAGCGCCGACGCCACGTGACTGTGACGTATGCCATCAAAGTACCGCGAGAGCGATTCGAGAGTAGCCGGAGAACTCAGCCAGCGCAGCTTCTGAAGAGCGGCTGCTCTGGGCTGCACGAGCTCTGATGACGACACAGCTGTTCCACGATTGGCCGGATTCACCGCATGACAACGATCACGTGCGTTTCGTGTTTATTCGGTTTATTCTCACACCTTTAGTTCCACTAAAGCTCACAAATCAGTTTTTTTTTTACAGTAAACAGATCTTTTCATGTAGTCGCGATGTATTGTGTTATGTTTATCAAAATAAAACAGATTAAAAAACGTTGATTCCACTTCATTGATAGTAGCTGTAGGCTTATGTTGAACTTTATTCTTGTTCAAACAAACGCTGTATGAAGCAGTACATAAAGTATAGAGCTCCGGACCCCACGTGACTACTGGTGTTCGGGCCGCCATTTTGGCAGTAAAAATGGCCAGCTCTAGCAGCGCCGACGCTTTCAAGCCATCGGAGTACTCATCTCACTTTAATTCGCATGACATTGAGCTTTATATAAAAAAATTAAATAGGTTAAATATTACCGACCCATACAATGCCCCCGGGGTGCTTTTCACAAGTATCTCCGGTGAAGAAGACGTCCCAGATCTGCAGTATCCGGATATATATAACTACCTGATAAACTTCCCATCTTCATACTCGGGTGACTCTCTAAAAGCCTACAAAAGCCTGGAGGGTTACAAATGGACTCAGTCTGGCTTTGTAACAAACATCCAGCTGTGGAATCTTCAAGCAAAAAAATGCTGCATCATCACTGGAAGGGTAAGTGTACCAGTTTAATAGGTAGTGTAACGTTAGCATGGCTAGTAGGGGTCCGGGTTGTTTGTTTATGTTAGCTTGGCTAGCAACCGCGGTGCGTCTGGCTATCTGTAGGACTGTAGTTAGTTTGTATCTTTGATGTACTCACTCAACCAAGTTAGCTGACATTTTTTAATTTCATGTATAGGTTAATCATTCCCAAAGGCTTAATGACCCTCAGTTAAAGCCATGGATGGTGGTGAGGAATGATGGGGTTGTCTTGGGAGCCCACTGCAATTGCACAGCTGGACTTGGTGAGAGCTGCTCCCATGTGTCAGCTGTGTTGTTCAGCATATGCCAGCATAACAATGGAAGAAAAGAAGAGATAGCTGTAACATCCAAAAAGTGCAAGTGGGCCACCCCAAGTGAGGACTCTTTAAAGAAAGTGGAGTATCAGCAGGGCAAGGACATAATTTTTAACAACTCTCAACAATATAAAAAAGGAAAATCTTCGAAAGGTCATTCTGCCCCCCCAGCTTTCCCACCTCTGACCGCTGCTGAGCAAGCCCAACTCTACAACAACCTCTCGCAATGCCGCACACAAGAGGAGCAGATCATCAAACCAGTAGTCCTGTCTGTTGTCAAAGAGTATGCAGCATCCTATGTGCCAAAGGCTGTCATGATGGATCTACCAGAACCCCTCACCAACCTTCACCACAACAGTCTGCCAGTATGCCGAATACTGCCAAAATGGCGGTGCCCGTGGTTTCCGGTCGCATAACAACGTCATCCCCCGGAACTCTATTGAATGAAAATGTCTCTGAAACATCTGTGTATTTGGCAAATATTGCATTTATTTCACTTCAGCTGTGCTAAAGTATACAAACACCACGTGAGCGGTCACTACGGGAACCAGAAAGTGTCCGACTTCACGTCTCCGTTTGCAGCTCCTCCCCGCCTGCACGCGGCTACTCTCGCCGATCAGTTACATCCAGCCGCAGCCGATGTCGAACACACCTCTCAACTTTTCAGAATGCCGCGAGCGCACCGCAGGTCATGTGACAAGATCCAACCAATCAGCTTCACTCTTTCCGTAACAACATTGAAAGCTCAGTCAACATGAAGGGTGGGGGTGCACCTTTCTTATACTGTCTATGGGGTGCACCCAAACACTGCGGGTGTTTTTCTCTTCTCCGTAAATAAATCTTGTAGCAGAGCTACAGCAAGCGTTTTTCGGTAGTGGAAATCGATTAGCTACTAATACTTCTTTGTCGTTGTGGAGAGCATATGGTTGCATAGCAACGACAGACGCCACGGGAAAATCGGACCGAATTTTACTATTAATAATAAAAGATAAGCTAATGTGCATTGTAAATGTCCGTAATTTATCTTTTTTGACTCATTCTTTTTATAAAAATGATTTAAAGGCTGAAATATGTGAGGTTTATCTTTTTATAAAACCTTTTTTGTCAAAACTTTATTTGAACTTGTACATGTTAGTAGATAACATGTTGCAAGACACTCCTTTAAAATCTGGCCATCATTTTTAATGTTATTATTTTAATGTTTATTTAAACAAAAAGTGCATATTGATGCTATTTTTTTGTTATTTGCTGGTTTTCGACATATAACTTGGTGAACTGATTTTATTTAGTAGTATTTTTTTAACAGGATTCTGTGATAACCGTGATCATTTTGGTCACTATAATCATGAAAGGAAATGTTCATGCGATTTCATCTCTAGTTATGATGCACTATAAAATCAACTATAATTATGTGTTTACAGTATAATATGTACAATTTTCTATAATTTTTTTTTTATCTCTGATTCTGTTCTTTTCTCTGACATTTAATGGTGACATATATAGGCCTACAAAAACTCTTTTAGGTCTAAAACAGTTTGGATAGCTGTTAATATGAGTTATGAGACATTATTTAGGAGATTTAAGTATTGTATTACATGAGTAGCTCTCGGCCACTTTCATTTTTAAAAAGTAGCTCTCAAATGAAAAAAGGTTGGAGACCCCTGTAGTAGACCATCCGGGTCTCTTTGGAACACTCATTTAAACATACTACGATTTGGGACGTAATAATTCTATTTTCTAATACTATTTGGGACGGATAGCATGCGAATTGGGACGCAGCTTTTGTGTCTATCTATCATTAACAAACAGCTCATAATGAGAATAAACGCCAATATATTTATCAATATTTTGCTAGCTAGCATAACCGTGAAAGGCAAATCGTGATAAGTTTATATCACGTTCATATAAGTTTAATTATGAAGCACTGGTCTCCTCTAGTCCGCTTGTTCATTCTGTGACACAGAAAACAGTTTAATAAACAGCAGAAAAGGAGCAAAGCACTACCAACAAAAACAAACTCCGTCGAGGAATTTCTGCAGATTCACTATAGACTAGAATGTAAAATGTATGTCGACACGATGGAGGAGCGATGGGAACTTGGTGCGAGCGAGAAATGGAAACCCCGGAGTAAATCTGGAGCAGCAGAGTCATTACAGAATGCATTTAGTGTGGATTAAAATCCACTCCGCCTTTATACTGTACTCTGCCTGCTGGAGGTGCACCTCAGCCCATGAGCCCCATAACCCTGTGCACGTCCCTGTCCAGGAATTGTAATAGTGTATTGCTGACATCAAGGCATTTTCCAGCTTTTTGCAGACCCCTTTTTAGCTGATGTGCAGTGTGTCCCATGTGTTGCAGTCAGCTAAATTCACAGGGAAAAGCAAACATGACTGGACAATTTTTACAAGAATTACTTCTGTCCTTCCCAGAGCTGTCCAAAGTGTTCAGTCAGGTAATATGCCTTTTTGGGAGTACATGTCTCTGATAATTTTTTTCAACTATGAGCTTTAATAAATGCAAATACATGTCTAGGTTTGGTGATGCCCATTTAGAAGCTGTACTATGGGTTTCAACCGTGACCTCCATCAGAGCAAATGTGGATCAGTGTGAGCAGAAGCTTTCAGGTGTCTGGCAAGAAATAGAATGAAGTACAAATGTATTTAGGGATTGCATTTGTTAGTTCAATGCAAGGTTTCAATTAGTTTTAAAAAAAGAAAAAAATTGCACTAACTGTAAAATAATCTAATGCACATAAAATGTATATGTGCCCCTGGTGTGTGGGTATAAAATGTACCCATATACATTTAAGTATGACAAAAGTATGTAAGTAATGGCATTTAAAAAGTAAATTATCAGAAATATTGCACTTTCTTGTACTTGAATGTTGAAATGGCCCTCCTGTGAGTAAATATCAGAAGTGCTGCAATTTTAGTTTGAGACCCCTGGTGTGTGGGTTTATGTTACCCATAATATTTGGAAAAAGAACATGGGTTGTAATAATATTTTCTCTGTTTTTCCAGATATGCCGACTGCAGCAGCATCTCTCTGCTGGGGAACATCAGCAGGACCTGTTCCAGAAGCAGCTGCCCATGTTTGTGTCCCCACACTCCCAGCCCCCCTGCAGCAGCCTAACAGAACTCATCCAGCTGTGTGGAGGAACTGTGTGCCGGAGTGTGCGGCAGGCCGGGATCTGTATTGGAGAGTATAATGGCAAGAAACCAGAGGGGAGCCACAGTCTTTCTGAACAGTGGATTTTAGGTAAGATGGCCTATTAATTATAACGATGAGCAACGAGTGATGTATTATCACCATAACGCACCTAAACAAAATCCATGTGTGCCACAGGACATTAAGGGAGGGTTGGATGTTTTTCCCCCTCTTTTATGCTTTCAAAGCTAGCTTGCTATTGCTAGCCTCTACAAAACTGTACACCATTAATAACCCTCAACATTAATAATCATTGTTACAATATGAAGAGCTTGTTATTATCTTAAGTAGCTTTTAAAGGGCAGTACTAAATGAAAAAAATGATCTTTAAACAATAACATTTACACATACTGTTTAAAAGTTTATTTATATGCATTGAGTTGCCTTCTTGAGCATCAGTAAATGGTTTCACCTTTTGTTATATTCATGCACATTTTGAATTTTCTGAAAAACCTACTTTTTCGAACTCCTCCTTGACCATATGGTCGATGTTCATGAAAATTGAACCAGATCATCTTCAGACCATGCCGACACAAAAATTTAAGTTGATTAGTCAAACCATTTTGGAATAACTCCCAAACAAATTCTACAAAGAGCATGCCAAAGTGGACATGAGGCTATATCTTTAAACAGATATAAAAAACAATTTTGCCATAGTCGGCCGAACTTCCAATCCGCCATTTTTCTTTTCTTTAAAAAACTGTTTTTTTAACTCCTTTTGGAACGTTTGTCTGATTTTCACCAAATTTGAGTCAGATCATCTTCAGACCATGTCAGCGAAAAGTTATGGATTTTGTGTTGATAGATAAAATCATTTTCGTACTCTGCATCAACGAATTTGATCGCAGTATGCCAACTGTATCTGAGGATGTATCTCTGGAAATAATTACATATTGACAACACACTGTATGCGTGTAATTGTCACTGAACTGACCTTGCCAGATCAATTTGGTTTCAGTGCCACATGTTGGTCAAAAGTAATAAGAAATTAAGTCACATTAAAATGATTGTATTTATGGGCTTTCACCTGTTTTGCTTAAAATCATCTCCAAATGTTTTTACTGATTTACTGCAGTTTTTAAAATTAAGATTTTACCAGATGTTGTGTTTATCTCTTTTTTTATAAAACAGTAGTGTGTAGTTAGGTGAGGTATAGAAGTTCTGATTAAACAAGAAAAAAAACATATCGTTATCTGCAGATACTTAAGATAATGGTATCAGACATGAAAAAGTGATATCAAGCCATCCCTATTTTATATAACTAATGTTTTTATGCTTTTCAGACAGTGTCACCCATCTCATACTACTCCCATATAAAAATTATGTCTTGGAATGAAGATCCCTGGAATTTGATACTCCTGAAGTTGTAAAAATTGGCTGTGACTTTATTATTATTTGCAATCTGTGTAGCAACTACTATTATTAAATTCTATTGTATTATGTGTTTTTGGCAACTTAAGTAGTGCAGTGTTACTGTCTTATTATTAAGATTTCTTATCTTACTGTGTGTTTATTTGTAACAAGCAATTTAATAAAACTGACTGTAAAAGCTGAAAACATTCTTCAATAAATGTAAAGGTGGTTGAGAGTAAAGAGTACATGTTCGCCTGAATGTACCATGGTTGTACAAGGCACTGTTGAAAATAAAATTCTGACAAACTTGACTGTCTTGTCTGATAATGTAAAATTTGACTGTCAAAAACACTGACTTGCAGGTAAGGATGTTACAATTCTCTTTTTTTTCCCCGCCTGGCCATGTAAAGAATGTTTGTTTATATGGCGTATAGCAGTGTTATTCAAATGGCAATCCATCCGCACCGAGGAACATAATTGCGCCATTTTACCGTTTCTACAGATCAAGTGAGCAGCGTGTTAAAGGAGAACTCTGGCGCAAAATGAACCTTTGGTCTAATAAAACATTGGTACCTAGTCAACCGTTCTCTGAGATTTGTTTTCATGATAATCGAATGTAAAGAGTTTTATCTCTAAAAACTGTTTAGCGTATAACGCTAGTAATGGGAGCATATAATAAGTAAAAAGAAATTGCTAGTTAATACCACTAACAAGGCTCAAAATAGCCCCACATGAACACAGTAACATAATGAGGGTCCCTACATGCAAAACGAAGCATTGAGAACTTTGTAAGTGTACAGACCGTTTAATAAGAAGATAAAGATAAAGACAGTCCACTTCGTGTATACAGACAGGAGCCATCTTTGGAAAACAGTCTCGACTAATCAAACCACGAACGACGTGCTAAGTGAGCTGAACTGTATGAATGGCGTTCGTGGTTTGATTAGTCGAGACTGTTTTCCAAAGATGGCTCCTGTCTGTATACACGAGGTGGACTGTCTTTATCTTTATCTTCTTATTAAACGGTCTGTGCACTTGCAAAGTTCTCAATGCTTCGTTTTGCATGTAGGGACCCTCATTATGTTACTGTGTTCATGTGGGGCTATTTTGAGCCTTGTTAGTGGTATAAACTAGCGATTTCTTTTTACTTATTATATGCCCCCATTACTAGCGTTATACGCTAAACAGTTTTTAGAGATAAAACTCTATACATTCGATTATCATGAAAACAAATCTCAGAGAACGGTTGACTAGGTACCAATGTTTTATTAGACCAAAGGTTCATTTTGCGCTGGAGTTCTCCTTTAAAACAAAGGAGCAGTTCACACCACAAGCGCTCAGGGTCCTTTACAGTAATTATCTTTTGCGGCTACATCCTCTTATATTTTTATTGCATTGACGTTTTATTTTATTGACATTGATTAGCTTGTTCAGATGTGATTGATTAGGGTTGGAGCTAAACTCTGCAGGACAGCGACACTCCAGGCGTTGCTTATCCCTTGGTCTGTTTCCATCAGTTTAATGAAAAAATAAAGGCATAGAACCAGTTTTTTGTAGTGCACTGACGACATAGTTTTAAAGTTTAATTCTAAGATTAATAATGACGCCAGGGCTTGGGCCCGTCAATGCTGCTTGCAGCTATTATTTTGTACTATTATTCAATAATGATTATCTTTACAATGAAACTGAATCAACACTGAACTGACTTCAGCTGAACAACAGCCGAAATGCATACTTTTCCTGTTATCACTGTAAAGCTCCTTTGAAACTATATGCATTGTAAAAAGCGCTATATAAATTAAGGTTGTAAAGAATGGCCCCAGTGGTCTTAGAGGATAATTTTAAAGAAGCTGGAAAGAGGTTCAGTGGATCCCCAAAAGGTGGTTTATTATGATGAAAAATGAAAAAAATATGTACATGGTCACATACTGAAATACAAACAAACTGAACAAAACAAAACTGCAAAAACGGCTACACCAAATAATTTGGTCCAATTTGCAACAGGGTCTTACCTTTGGCCTTAAACAAACCAAGACTGACCTGATAAGCTCTATAGCTCCCTATTTATACGGGCTAACTCCACCCTCGGCCTGTACCAAATGAACAAGCTATTCCCCCTCCCCCAGTCAAAACTACAAATGGATCAGTCCAATTAGGGCTATGCTAAGGCTACAAAAACCAGGGGCACGTTCAAGTTCAAAACGGTGCGCAACGTTTTGCTACGGTTTCCGGGTTGAACGTCATGTTTCCTGGAAACGGCGTGCAACGGGGTTTGAGATACGTTTTCTCTTGTTTGGTGGGTGTGTCAGAACTGCAGTCCAATCAGCAGCAACATGTATATAAAGCACGCGGTATTAAAGTGAACTCGCACAATTGGTTCAAGGAAAGTCATTTACAAATGTGTTCGATGCAGCTCGGTATACGCAACAACTGAGGATATTAGAAGACATGTTTGTCTAAGTTTTATTGTAAAAATATAGGATATCAACATAATGATGTAGTTGTTTATATTTTTAGCTTCATTGCAAGTGTATGACATTTGGTATAGAAATAATGGTAATTAAGTGCTTTTCCTAAAAATGACGTGCAGGGTATTAAAACAGTATGAACTACAAATAAAGTCAGTATTTGAGGCTAAATAGATGTGTTTGTTTTAGTCTGAATTAGGTAAGATGTGTGCTTCCATTTCAGTTTCCACAAATATCCCTTCACTGGGCGGCAAGTGCAGTAACTGTAACATCGGGCATATTTTGTAGTATTAAACGCATATTTATACCGACTTCATCAGGCTCCGAAAATTCTTCACAAAGAACACAAAGAATGGCCTTCTGAGCTGCCATAGTTGCAACTCTTGCGTCATCAGAACAGTGTGTTCAACGCATCACCGTTTCTGTTTAAAAAACGTTGTGCAACGTTTTGTCGGGGCTGAACGCAGCCCTGTTTGAATCAGACAGACTGTTTGATGGTGCAGCATGGGACTAGAAAGCCAAAAAGTTTTGGGGGGAATTCTTACAAGAAATAAAAGGTAATTCTGACTGCAATTAACTGGGTTGTGAAGTTTTCTTTTAAAAAGGAATAATTGAATTGAACAACATGTTTGAGCAAACACAAATATAGCCTACCGTACATATATCAGACTCATTTCAAATAGGGAAAACAATTACACAATACCATTCTGATTTAAAAGATGGTAAATGTCGGCATAATCAGGTAGTGATGTGTGCATGTGTGTCAAGTGTGTAATTCATTTTCGGTCACAAAGCTTAGCTTGTGACAAAGGTGATTTAAATTGTGCACATCGCCACCCAATTAGTGGTTGTGCCATCTTTTCGTTTAATATTTAATCACTGAATAAGAATTATATTGGGGGGGTTTTGTTACTAATGAAAAGAAATACCGATTAAACTGCTTGCAAAGATAATATTTACATTTTACATTTATTCATTTAGCAGACGCTTTTATCCAAAGCGACTTGAGAAATGAGAACAATAGAAGCAGTTAGTCCTACTAACAATAGGACAACAATATGCAAGTGTTATGACCCTTCCCAGTTTAATCTAACGCAGTACCTGTATTTGTTTGTTTGTTTTATTTTAAAGATAATAGATATAGAATAGAAGATAAAGTGTTAGTATTAATGGATCAAGTGTTGCCGAAAAAGATGCGTCTTCAGCCGTTTCTTGAAAATGGCTACCGACTCGACCGCTCTGGTTGAGTTGGGCAGGTCATTCCACCAGCAGGGAACAGACATGGTAAAGGTCTGAGAAAGATTTAGTGCCTCTTTGAGATGGCACCACACAAGACGGAGTTCACTTGCAGAGAGCAAGTTTCTGGATGGCACGTAAGTCTGAAGTAATGAGTTTAGGTAAAAGGGAGGAGAGCCAGTGGTTGTTCTGTAGGCAAAAGTCAGTGACTTCAATTTGATGCGAGCAGCAACAGGCAACCAGTGCAGTTTTGTGAGGAGAGGAGTGACGTGTGCTCTCTTCGGCTTGTTAAAGACCACTCTAGCTGAAGAATTTTGGATCAGTTGCAGAGGTTTGATAGTGCAAGCTGGAAGACCTGCCAGGAGACCATTACAATAGTCCAGTCTGGATAGAACAAGTGCTTGTACAAGGAGTTTTGTAGCATGCTCTGATAGGAAGGGCCTGATCCTCCTGATGTTGTATAAGGCAAATCTGCAGTTCTAGCAATGTGGTCTGTTAAGTTTAATTGATCATCAATCACAACTCCAAGGTTCCTGGCTGACCTTGATGGAGTTATGGATGACAAACTACAGGCGTGCTCAGAATTAATGGCACCCCTGGTAAATATGATCAAAACTGGCTGTAAAAAATTAATCTGCATTGTTTATCCTTTTGAACTTTCATTTAAAAAATTGCCAAAAATCTAACCTTTCATTGAAGTAAAAGAATTGAAAGTGGGGTGGAAATCACATTAATGCTTAATGTTAATGTTTTTCTCCAAAACATGTTGCCCACAATTATTGGCACCCTTTTATTAAATACTTTTTGCAATCTCCTTTTAACAAGATAACAGCTCTGAGTTTTCTCCTATAATGCCTGATGAGTTTGGAGAACACCTGACAAGAGATCAGAGACCATTCCTCCATACAGAATCTCTCCAGATCCTTCAGATTCCCAGATCCATGTTGGTGCTTCTTCTCTTCAGTTCACTCCACTCATCAGGACAGGGAACTGGGATGGTCATGGCAGAAGCTTAATTTTGTGCTCCGTAACAAATTTTATGTTGATTTTGATGTTTGTTTTGGATCGTTGTCCTGATGGAAGATCCAACCACGGCCCATTATAAGATTTCTAGCAGAAGGCGTCAGGTTTTGATTTTTTATCTGTTGATATTTGATCGAATACGATGCCATGTATCTGAACAAGATGTCCAGGACCTCCAGCAGAAAAATATGCCCACAACATTAAAGATCCAATGGTATATTAAATTGTACACATGGGGTACTTTTTATCCTTGTGTGCACCAAACCCATCTAGCGTGTTTGCTCCCAAAAAGCTATTTTTTTAGTTTCATCTGACCACAGAACCCTGTGCCGTTTGAAGTTCCAGTCGTGTATGACAACTGAATTTGCTGGAGTTTGTTTTTGGATGAGCGAGGAGGATTTTTCTTGAAACCCTCCCAAATAACAAGTGGAGATGTAGGGGTTGTTTGAATTTTTTTATAGGCTTTCTGACCCCAAGACTCAACTAATCTCTGCAATTCTCCATCTATGATCCTTGAAGAGTCTTTGGCCACTCAAACTCTCCTCCTCGCTGTCCATTAAGGCAATATAGACACCTGTCCTCTT